TCGAGCCTCGTTGGTAGCTTTCTAGAATTTTCAAGATGTCGCTGATGTAACAAGTGTTTGTAAACCGTTCCGTTGAATTAAAACAGAGTTCGGTGTTTATCGAGAGCCGTGAATTTCTTCAGTGTCACTGGGAATGGGCGAAAACCTGTATCAGAACATTAAACGTTTCCCTCATTAGCTGTTTTAAATTTGAGACAATATTTTAACGATCGTTTTATATTAGTAAGTAAAATGGGGTGTCTTCCTAATTACAAAATACATACCTTACAGTATACCTGCAATATGTATTTGCAACATTTCTCCATTCCCTACTATCAAACATTTCTTTCATTTGTAGTTCATAGTTGCTCGTCCATATTTCACTGCAATAGGCCAGGATAGGTTTAACCATATTAATATCAAATAGTTTTAGGTATTTTTGGCTGGAATAATGTTTTCAGATTATAGCAATTAAATTTCAAAAACAGCTTTCATCGCTCCGTGGCTCTTCTTGAGCTCTGACAAGTTTACTAGTTGTGTTTAGTTTCAAATCTAAGTTTCATTTTACAGATGTTTTCCATTAATTACAAATTGATGTTTTCTAATGGTTTTGCAAGATTTATTAACAATCGTGACTTTAGATTTTGAGACTTTTACTTCAAGTTTCCATTTATTACAATATGTTTGCAATAAGTTTAAAGCATATTGGAGGCTATTGTTTGCATTTGTAAGTAATACTAGGTGGAGAAATAGGACTGATTTGATATGATATGATATAACTACATGTTACATATGGACTTGACATTAAATTACTATTTATTGATATTTGAAAATAATATAATGTTGAACAGCAATATAATGCAGCATCGACGTTCCATATATATTATAGGTATAGGGTATTTTGGTAAAAAACATATACATAGTTTTAAACTGGTTGCTACGGGTTTCAAAATGTCCCTTTATATTTAGTATAGTGGTAATTATATGCTGTTTTCTGGTTGGTCACTACGGGCGTTTGTGTAATGGTCATAGACATGCGCACTTTACTCTTCTGTTTTGAATCATAGACGATCTCGAAAAATACAATATTTGCCTTTCGCAAATATATCCTTGACAAAAATGTTGTCAGCATAATACTGATGACATTTTTATACAGAAATGTTCCGCACACGATTTAAGCAAAGTAGGTATAATCACATCCAACTACTACATATTTGTAGCGAATTATCAAATTTTCTAATGGCCATTCTCGCCTCATTGTGTCTTGGGTGAGATAGAGTCTTACAAAGTTAAACATGTGCAAATTATGGGGGTATCCCAAAATGTTCGGGTTATGGTGTGTCCATAACTACAGCAGAATCCTAGTTCCAGTTATGGCTTGAATTTAGATTCTTGAATATTGCCAACCCAACCTCAGAAACAAACACTTTTATATGTATGAGCAGGACACAGATAAACTAGGTGCCGTTAACGACCTTTCTGGGTAGCACTTCAATCTGAAGTCAAACATTTTTTCGTATGTTAGAAATTGCTGCATTTAAGTTTCGAAATTAGTTTGACAGCTCATTTATATTTCTTACAACACATTGTAGTATATATAAATGTTGATCTGTATATGCACACTGAACACACTGTCATAAAGTAGTTAAGTTTGTGTTTGAACTCAGTCAGGGGAATTAACTGTGGGCACACGGTTTAGTAATTTATAATATACGTCATTTATTGTGAAGGTTTCAATCGATAGATACCGTGCAATACGTTGACATAAGTTGGTTGCTAAATGACAACCTCAGCTCATGACTATGCCCGGAGAGGCATGTGGTTGAGATCGTTCCCGTCTTGACTGAAATGGGTCATGGTTCACGTGGTATTCGTAATGCACTTAGATTGGCCAATTAGTTCTGTCGATATGCAAATATAATTGTAATTGACATAAGTGGGTATATTATTTGTATTGAGCGTCCATTATTGGAGAACTTACAATCAATACCAATGTAATAAAACATCAAGACAATTGAATGTTAGGTAACGCTTGGTGATGCTTTCAAAATAAACGAGAATGACTGGGATTTTGACGATGGTGTATCCAAGGCTGGTAACAACACTCAACCTATCAATAAATTGTCTTGCATTGTCTTTTAGTTTCAAGTTAACAATATGACAACCTTGAAGGCTAATTTACACAGAAAGGATTATTTGATGTTACAATATTTATTCTTATTTTCAGAAAATACATACTTGAAGATACAATCAGAGATGTCGAATATTGGACAATGAACAACACTCGTTCATATGACACGCGGTAAGATGATTTATGATTGTTATTACATTATGTGTTTACTATATCACCCACCACCTTTATGCTTATGAAATATATAATGTTCAAATATTTGTGAAAACACGCGTATTTTGATCAAATAAATGTAAATTTATTAACCAAATGATATCATATATTCTTTCAGCAAAACTAGAATAATAGTTGATTCAAGTAGGAATTTCGAAAATTGGAGATTCAATAGAACGCGTTTTTATGAAACTAGGTAAGAATATTTTATACATGTTTACGACAATGTCAAATACGGTTACAAGAGTATATTGCTTAATATCATAATTATGATTATTTTTAATCAAGGCACCATTTTTATGAATAAAGTGTCATTGTGTGCCTAACCTTTATACGGTTTACATTACAGGTTTAAACTATACCAACATTTACTTAGACACAATTTTTCAGCTGAGTGGCGATACCATGATTTCCTTGAATATGCTGTAGTAAGTATATTATTTGTTAGCAAGTCCAAAGTAATATGAATAGGACTATGTGTGACGTGTAACATAACTTATCATTGCTAATTAGTACGATAAATGTCACAATATGCATGTTACACGTCATCATGTTATGCGTGTTCGTACATTACGCACAGAAAACCAGCAGTGCCGATTTATCACAGTAATATGAGAATACCAGGCTGCTTTTCATCAATTATTACAATAACGTCATAAATTTCCCTTGGGGATTTGACATAAATAAATCATTCTTACCTCACCTCACCCAAATTCATTGTAAATCATTGGATTAGAGACTGATGGGCTTACTGTCCGGGTGCAAAAAAACATTAACATAACACACTAATTAATAATTGGATGATATATATGCAGCATTTGAATCAATTTCGTCAATGATTCCTTTTATTTTTAGAACAATGACAAAATGCACAACAAACGATGTAGTGTTGTTGGAAATGGAGGTATTCTAAAAAACAGTGCATGTGGACCAGAAATCGACAAAGCCAACTATGTTTTCAGGTAACTGAGAAACGTAAACAATGTAGGATTTATAAGTATTGTGCATATTGTACCATTGATATGTTGTGCTATCATGTATGAACAATCAGTATAATATATAAGTTACCTATAGTCAAATTAACTCACGGAACACCGGACAAATCATCAGCATTGAATGAACAACTTTGTCATTTGTAGACTCCTTGAGAATACAACCGTGCATTCCATGTATTATGGCAGTGAAATAAAGCAGTTGTACAATGTTCCACTCCATAGAACACATCTCTGTATTCTAATTTAACCGTTTCAAGCACATTAAATTCATAGTCCAAAATTAGCAATTATGTTACCAATACATTCAAATAACTGCAATATTTCTTAGTCGCAATAAGATATACTAACGGTAATCGTCATTCACGTTCTACGCCGCTTTGACTACGTGCTCACAAGCTACAATCCCTCTATTAGGGTTTAGCCTTTGGAAACTGAGAAATGGATACCTTGAATAAACAGGATATTCTATTCGTGATCCTACAATATTGGATTTACTAAACTCGGAACAAATGAAAATTCCTACATTAATTTATTACATCTGGTATTGGGTTCAAAATTGTTTCAAAATCTTACTGAAGTGATTTTGACATAACAAGAGTATGTTGTTGTACGCAAACATGTTTCTATGTAAGGCAATATATTGATGCCATAATTTGTTTGCAGATCTAATCTACCTTCAATTCGTAATTTCACGTATGATGCTGGAAAGAAGACAAACTTTTCTACTTTTAATCCAAGTATAATTAGTGAAAGGTTTGACATCATTACAATGTATCTTATATCGAATCATCTTGAATGAAAACAAATTGACGAACTAAAGGCATATGGCAATATGATACAAATCAACGAGAGAGATATCAGGATCACATATATGGATATAAACTATATAGAACGAGAAAAGGTTATACTCTACATGTAGTACCAACCACATACACATTCGAGTCGTGATTAGTAGTCTGTTTTATAATGTATTGCCCTAGCGTAGGCTGATATACCACGATATATTGCACAACTATGCACTATCAAGTTGTATACTATTTCTTATTAAATCACGATATATTATCATTTATTTGAATAGGTACCACAACAATTTTTCTGGTTTTAAGCATGATCTCGATGCATATGAAGGTCATATATTGTTTTCTCGGACTGAACTAATAAAAGGAGCAAAACGTGCATTCTTATCTTATGTACGAGAGAATACAACGTTAATGGACTTAGAAGCTGATCCGAATTACTTATTTGCAGTTGAAACATTTTGGGTATGCAATAAAAGAGCGACTACAGGTTAGTTTTTCAACTTTCGACGAATTATCAAGGCGTGATTACAGAATTTACATATAATTGATATTATAAGGATTTAATCTCAATTTTAAAAACATAATTATGTTTTATAGTCTTTCGAAGTCCGGATTTTATATTGTTTAGGTTATTCAGGTGGAATCGGTTCGTGCTTTTGTAGCTGGCAATTATTTACAAATATTAAAACACAATCCCTGGATTTGATCGGAATTTATTATAACGTTTGCTTTGTTTAGGATTGCTATTGGTCAGCCTAGCGCTCATACGCTGTGATGAACTTCACCTGTTTGGATTCTGGCCATTTGATACTGATAAAGATGGCAACGATGTACCATACCACTATACTGAGGACATCGATTGGCCAGTAACAACGACTCATAACATGCAGTGCGAGTTTCAGATTCTTAGAGAACTGCATATCAAGGGTGTGCTTAAGCTGCATATTGACAAATGTGAATAGCGAGTAATAAGGTAAATAGAACGTCGCTTCGAGTGTGGCAAAAACTGAATAAAAACTATTTAAATAGTATGAATAAACAATCATTGATGGGAAACAAGATGATGTAGAATCGAGGGAACTTAAAATAAAAAAGTCGCCTCGTGCATTATGCAAGATAGATATGCTAATAACTCTACTGAACAGGCGACTCTACATGAAATCACGTCAAACAATAACTAACTGATACGAAATATATAATACAATATATAGTATATATATAGTATAATATCATAAGTATGCAATGATCTTTCCGGAAGGTCTATTCTCCTCATTGTCCATCATGTTTTTATATAACTTTTTTAGGCGTGTTGCAATGGAATGCTGAAAAACCTTTTGTTATTGTTCTGAATACTATATTTGTAGGCACTGTTGATTATAACTAGTCTTGTACCTATTGGCAATCCGTTGTCTTTTATCCAGAACATTATTGTTGTAGTTATTTATTGTTCTGGTTATTATGTTTGGTGAGTTTATTATGTATTTTTCATTTTAGGTTTCTGTTGTTTTTGTGTCGTTTTTAAATTATATTGGACTAAAATTTTAAACTCGTGCCCGTGTCAGCAGAAGATTTCTTATATGTGTGCAAGAGAATTGGAAACCTGCCACATTCTCTCAAAACTACTTCATCGGGTGTTGTGAATTCACCCCCAAAAATGCTTTACAATATTTTAGCTGTACCCTTTCCATCACCTGGTATTTACTATGCCCCCATATTTCAGCCTCATACTTAAAACCGGCAAAAACCATACTATCACATAATTTAAAATAATCTTGGTAAGGCAAGCTCCAAGTTTTTCTTATCATACGAAAAGTTGTGTACATTACCTTTCACGCTTGTCGTGTAAGCGTTGTTACTGCTTTGCCCCAAGTGTTTCTACTTGAAATAAGTAAAAACAAATATTTAGTGTACCCAACGGTATTTACGGGATTGTCATTTAGAAACCATTTTCACTCCTTTTTAAGCATCCCTCACGTCAAAAAACTATAATTTGTGTTTACTGCCATTTTCCAAGTTGAGCAAAAAGAGTCTAATATTGCCAATAATTAAAATAGCAGGTCAATGATGTCATAATTATTCCAATGACTTCAAAGCCTTGATCGTGGCATTTTAAACCATTGAGCAATGAACATGCGACTTAGGGCTTACCTTTATGTAACGGGGAACGGCGAGTGTGTAGTTTCGCAAATTATGCTGACACGGCGCTAAACTGTCTGAAAATAAACGGGGTTGACCACAGTTTCAAACTGTGTTTTATCAACATACTAGGGTCATTTTTTCTATAAATATTTTCTATGTATGTTATGAACCCCCCCCAAATAACACATTCGGTATATGTATCATATACATGTATATATATATATATATATATATATATATATATATATATATATATATATATATATATATATATATATATATATATATATATATATATATATATATATATAACGTTAACAATAGTTCAATTACAGAATCTGTTCGCTATTTCGATTACTAAATCAAATTCTCTTTTCCGAATCCCAATGCTGGTCTACAGCCTTGTGTTAGAAGTGCGATTTAGTGCCAATACAAAAGAAAAGAAACATAAAGGTCTGCTACTAGTATTTATTATTATTATTATTATTATTATTATTATTATATGCCTATTCAATTTGTATGCATATTTGCTAAAGTAATGCACCATTTACGTTCGAAGTTAACACAATGTTCCCAAATATTCTGACTTTTACAATGATATGTACACAATATAATCTACACTTTATTTAATGCATTGTGAAAGTGTCCTCGGCAAGCATTGTTCTTAGTACAACACTGGGAAGTATATCACACCGGAAATAATATCGCACGTTAACGTTCAACAATAATTCCTGGCCTGATTCATTATAACATGTGATTATAATTTCTTTTATCTGTGAAGTGTAAAAAAACATTTTTTACTATAAATTAAATTCTCATTTTATTTCTTGTGAAATGCCCTTTTTTATTTTCTGTAACCCTTATCAGACACCCCCCTTCTGATATATGTTGACAACATGAAGTTGCTCGTTCTATAGGTCAATACATGCCAAACTTAGTAGTAGTAAGGCCATGCAACTGATTTGTAGTGATGTAAACGTGATACACGGTACTGTAGATTTTTGTAATGAGTCATTACAATTTGTGGTTGTATAGGGTTAAAGCGGGGGAGTCGTCACCTACGCATGCGTCAGGTGGCCATAGCGTGTCATTGTTTACGAACAAGCGTCCACCCATATCACAATCATATCACAATATTGCTTTATGGTACTCAAAATAATCTCTTTTCTGACCGGGATCAATTCCACACTTTTTTTGACAGTGTAGAAGTACGAATACACTAATTCGACGGTGTTCAGTTTTAGGGAATAATTAACTTTTAGGAAAGTTCGTTTAATTGAGAAAATGTATGAAGTTGAATTGAACACCAGATAAACGCCATTTCTAGGTTTCCTATGTCTAGTAGCGATGCCACGATGATAACAGTAATTGTGAATGCGATAGTGGGTTTCGGCCAGCAGTTGAAGATATTGTGCAAGTAGACATATGATGCTAGATCTGACTTTCTTTCATGCGCTGTTGACATATAGGAACATATTTTTAAAAACAGGTTCCATATCTAAAAAAATCTGAAGAAAAATATAAGTTACAGTCAGCATAATATTGTTTAATCATTGAGTTATTCCGTTTGTTTCATTTGCCTATCAGTGATGAATGGAAACTTGCAATGATGAGCAAACTCCAATGTTTTCTTTGATTTACAGTAATTATGACGGTTTGTTTGTAATTCTGCCCAGTTACGACAACACCCAGAAAAGCGCTTGCATTCTGAGAACGATGTTCGATTGCGGTGTATAAGGTCTGCCAAATAAGTTCTGCTTAGTTGGACCTATCAATATCTGATTGTAACCAATATCTGAAGTTTTTGTTCCATGACATCGGTAATTTGTATGCTAGCTTGCATCCTAGTGCCCCGGCGACTGTCTCGTCTGCGCCACCAGCCTGTGGAAATATGTAGAATTTCATTATGTACATAATACCATAATATGGATTATTTACATAAACAGAAAATATAAATCATATTCATAAATGTTCTTAATTAATCAGATTACTTCCATCCGAACCACCAAAGTCAACGTCTTTGTGTCATTTATTCATTCATCCAACAATCCGATTTTTAACCACAGCACAGTTAAAACTAATTAATAATAATTAATATTGTTTACCAAAAAATGTATGGTTTTATACACAGAATGCGACTTACCTGTTTTACAATAGAAGTCAAACATGTCTGAAATTTGTCTGTCGCTGGGCCCAGAAACCAGCCCCTAAACATTTGTACGCGTATCATTTCTATCTTTCAAGGTTCATCTAGCCTCTATCTTTTAATATCATATGTATTCACGCAACGTTATAATTCATCAATCAGAAAGTAAGATTAAAAGTATTAACATCTCATGTCTGTCTGTCTGTCTGTCTGTCAACCCTTCACGTTATGAATATCTATAATTAATTATGTTCTGCAACATGTCTGATATGTATACTGGCGATTTATCTTATTAAGGTAAGCTTTTGTATTTTTAATGCTTTCGTTCACTTTGTTAATAATATCGTGTGCTGCACATGCACATCAATGCAATAGCAGTTCTTACAGCAACATATATATGATGCAATGTATTTACCTGCAATTCATATGACAAAAAGAGCAATACATATTCTACTCAATTGTACTATGGTGCCATAAACCAGACATAAATATTGAGCACAAGTTGTTTCATTTATTTTCACAATATTCTCTTTTACCATTCCAATATCACCAAGCTGATGAATACCAAGTATTGTCATCACTGCTTCAATTGGTATCCACCACTAGAACTTCACACCTCATGAACTGCCTACATGATGCAGAAGAAATGGTATTTGGTAATTGTACGGTAATTCGAAATCAGATCAAAGTGGAGTTTGTTCAGTCATCTTTTGCGCAATAGCCCATGGAATCGAATTAAGCTAATTTAAATTTACATGCTCACTGACAAAACTAGAAGTAGGTAAGAACTGATTGTTATCTTCGGTTCAATTGCCCACCATCAATCTGTGCTGGTGGTCTTTGTACTTGTCGGCCCTTCCCTTGGATTCCAGTTCCGCATCATATTAAAACTGCAATTATATCAGCATAATTATGATATATAAAAAATAAATGAATACAAATATTCGTATTGATATAATTTCTAATAATAATAATAATAACTGGGATATTTTCGAGTATTTATTTCAAAGTTAAATCACTTGCAAGGAACAATCAGATTACATGGAATTATATCGCAGTATGGAGATGTAAAAACTTATTAAACTGCGTTATTACGCTGATTTGAATATTGTACAAGGAATATAAAGTGTATATCATGATATTGTGCAGACAAATAACAAAATGAGCCATATTGTGTAGTATGTCGGTTGATGTGTAGGTGTGTATATATGTATATATATCTGTTTAATTCGTTTAAAAGATTCCTCTCATTAGTAAATAGCGCCCTCACTCCACAATATTTAGAATGAGTGGTTGGTCAAAAGTTTGATGAGTCAGGTGCATCTATTGGCTAAGCTTGTTGTACATAGATGCAAATGAGTATAGGAACCATTAATGCTGTAGGGTGTACTGGGAGGGGTGGAGGATTTCATGTTTGTAATGACTGGTTGTAATGTGGTATCTCGTTGTTTTCAAGATGCAGCCTGATATTTGTTGCTTTCTTGGTTGTTCAATTGTGGCTAAAATTTGTGTGGTGGGTGGAAGATGTGTTTATTGTTTGTTGAGTCATTGTTTAGACACCCTGCATCTTGAAATGGTATGGTCCAAATCCAAATTCGATATGGTGGTGTTGAATATCTGTGCGATATGGCAGTGTCATCTAAAAACCACGCATCAAAATGATTTCTGTTTATTTAT